GATTGTTGCAAACAAGAGAAAGGACCCTGTAAATATTTCTTCTTTATCTGGGAGGTTGGTAAATGAGGAATCTGAAGGTTTTACTTTACCTGAAGCCAAATGATAAGCGCCGCCTATGGACAACCACAACGTGCGAGGTTGCAATGTCAGTTCCAATTGAAATCTGGATGTTAATTTTAAAAGTTGGCAATCGAGCAGACGGTTCACCTGATCTTAAGTGATTACCGCCGCCCATACTACTGCTGAGGGTTGGCAGATGTGTTGTCAATATGTTAAAAAGTTGGCCGGGCTACCTACCACCAGACGAGACGCGAACGTCTTCGAAACTTCACCGGAGGAGAGGGCCTATTCAAACAAGAGAATCTACTTCGTGACTCTTCTGAGGAATGAGCGAAGGCATGTACTCGTATAGCACTCAATTGTACTGTACTCAATTAACAGACGAATTACATAAGCGCAAGCACGTAAAGTAACGTGAAGCCAGCCAGCCCATTGAGGCCACGCTTAAAAAGGTGCTCAAAAAAATTCCAACGGCACCAGAAAAAAAAATACGTTCCCATATCATCGCCGTTAGCGTCCCCTGATGTCAAAACAACCGCATAAAAGGTCTCATCTAACCGGTGCCGTATCGATCAACCAGCTATGGTCACCTTCCAAGTTTTGTGCTGCTTTGCATCAAAATGTACCCCGAGGGTTCCTCGCATGAATGTACACCAATTGGACCCCTCCGTAACATGGTCATCGACCCGAGTTCCCATGGTAGATTAATTTAAAGCCTCCGTACACAAAGCGACGAAGAATGCGACGTGTCCCACACCGTTCAGATACTATCTGCCTTCGTCGGTTTGTTATCGAACGTACGAACGCCCTAACACGAAAAAAAACTCCCATGTCGATGAACTGTGCACCTTTTGGGCAATATATTCATTCAAATGAGTAGCCTAGATAATATTTTGGTATGATTATTTGTACGGATCGTTGCTTGAAAAGCTTCAACATTGAAAGAAGAATAAGGCAGGTATAACTAGTACCTACGCATAGCTTATTCCATTTGATTCGGTTCTAAACTTAATCTGTACCGTCGAACGTTTAAAACAAAGCATTTTTATTATCATTGTATCTACCAAGCTAGTAATGCACCACGTACCTTTTGGATATATTAGTTAGAATGAATGAAGCCAACGTAGTTTCATGGTATTATAATTGGTATGGATTGTTCTTTCATCACTAATGTTACGCGGCGGAAGGGGAATAAAATTTCTAACTAGAAAAACACCATGTCACTCTTGTCGTTTTGAATCGAAAGTTGTTATCTGAAAAGCATTTTTACGGTGGTAGGGCCACGCAGCAGCCTCGGCTGTTGCACGAATGGGCAGGCCCGTCCGGGTAAGTACCACGACCTCACAGAAGACCAGCGTAAAGTGGAAGTATGAAAAATACTTTCGCGTTTCGTCTGGTGAGTGAGGTAGCCGAAGCCCAATTTTCAAAACGTCAACGCATCTGTAACCCTCGGGTGTCGCAGATGTCCATGGGCGGCGATATTCACTTAACATCGGGTGAACCGTTTGCTCGTTTGACAACCTTTCGAATAAAAAAAAAAACTAAAATATTATATTAGTTGTCAAAGTGATAGTTAATATCAAAAAAAATATTTGCGAATATAAGAATCCTAAGAAACGGTTTTCCATTCTTTATTACAAGATTCCATCACCGTCGATTTCCTTCCACTGAAAAAGGATTTCATTCTATATGACATTACTTACTATATTTAAGTGCACGAACAGATTAATTAAAGCTTTTTCTATAATGTCGGGTGCATTTTAGGTAATTGAAGTAAACTGTTCGCAATTTTGCATGCAAACTAACTGACAAACTAACTGCAAACTTAGAAGTTAACTACATCTGTATTAAATTATATTTTAGCGACTGCTTTTAAGTCAACATTCGCCAAAGCGTATGCCACGATGTATGCTCATTGTGTGGTTTTATGAAGTTCTTTGGGTTAAGAGAAATCAAATTATTAAGTGTCGGATATATTTTGACCAGGCGTCATTTATTTTTTAACTGCCACGAAAACTTTAATATTCAATCATCCCTTTGTGACTCTTTCATGGTACGACAGATAGGGGATCGCGTTTGGGAGAGACGTTATCATTACACTCTATTATTGTGAAAGGGGTGAATAGACGCAGTTATTCAGTTGCCTTCTCTATGCTGGCCGGTTCGGTTCGGGTTACTTCCATTCAACGTGTTTATTGTCATTTAGATTGGTAATACGCGTGAGATCTTTGACCGGGTTTTCGGTTGGCGTTTTTAGTTAATTCGATACGGGGTGTTGGGGTCGAAGCGGATGGGAAATGGACAACAAAGGATTAATGTACCAATACTTTTTATGTTCAATACGCTCATTTATTTGTTTATTTAAAATTTAATTGTTTACAACTCAACTTAAGGCTAAGCAAAAGGCAAACTTAATGCTAATAAGCATTATTTTCCTATCAGCCCTGGAAGTAGAAAAAATTTGACGAAGGTGCAAAACCAAATACGTGAATTAAATTAAAGAAAAACAAATAAAAGAAAACAAAAAAGCAAAGGTACATACAATAAATACTTTACATAATATAATTATTAAATTCCATTAATGACTGCGATATTGTCTGTTGGTATAAAGATATAGTCCTGTTTTTTTTTTATGTGAGAAGGCGGCAAACGAGCTGGTGGTTCAACTATGTTAAGTGATGAGCACCACCCGTTTGTGTGCAGATGCGATTCCACCTTATTAGAAAGCGGGCCCAGCTACCTCGCTCACCAGACGAAACGCAGAAGTATAACCCAAACAACCGTTGCCTATGTTTCACCCCTGAAGGCTTTCGAATAAATGAAATGATTATATATATTACGCCAGTTTGTAACACGGCATGTAAGTATGTGCATGTTGTCTAATCGAATGGGATTCGACGAATTCCTTTGTTTGACCATCTGCGTTTAATGCTGCTCAGCGTTAGGTCAGAGCACGCGGGTGTCGGCTTAATATGTATAGACAGACATTTCCATATCGGCTGTAAATCACGGCAGCCGTAGGTCACACATCTGAATTCCTCCATAGAGATTACACTCGCCCGTGGTCTATTCTGCACTTTAGGTCAAGTCAAAAATTCGTGATGACTACATACACTATATGATATATTCCAATACATTGAACGGAATTTTGTTTATTAATTTTTTTCTTTTTTACGATTGTTTATAAAATTTCGATTACTAAAGTAGTCAAAATCATAAGCATGTTTTATCGTCAGGTAATCGCTTGAGACACTTACCTTTTTCAGCTGTACGGCGCTTTAATCATTCTGTAGCAACTCCATTTACTTTACTCTCATCGGTTATAGAACATAACATTAAATACTAACTTCGTAAACGTTGCGTAAACGAAGTAACTGCTTAAAGACCCTAATGTAGTGCAATGTATATAACCTGCATACACCGAATAGTAACCGTTAATTTCTATTGTAAAATTGTAAATTACCAAAGTTTATAGTACGCTAAGTATTTTTACAAACACTTTATTCTAGTTAATTATGCAAATTACAATGTGGGAATCACCCAAACAAGAGTGTCTCGCGCGTCCTGACCGATCGTTCCCGCGCAACAAAGCCTTTGACACGGCGGCCATTTTTATTACCGGCCAGCACCAGAGGCGCACGTCACATCTCCCGCGTGATAGATTATGATTACCACAGATAACTGTCTGTTGGTGACGCATGCGTTTTACTTTTTGAGGACATTAATTAAATATACGAACTATTTGTTTAAATCGATTTCAAATAAAGATTTAATGTAAATTTGTGGTTGATATTCCGTTCTATGCAGTTATTGTTTTAAAAGATTTTAATTTTTATACAACAAAATGATAAGGCATATTTAACTTTTAAGAAATATGAAGTTTATACTATTTTAAACATTTTTGTAATAAATATATTGTAGACATTTTTAAATTAAAAATATGACCTTGCATTGTTTCATAATTGTAAAAAAATGTTATTTGTACATTTTTAATATCAAGTAAACCAATATCAAATTTAACACAAAGTTTGAATGTTAAAATTTCGTAGATCTGTAAATACTTTCATTTTATACTATTTATCTAGAAAAAAATGTCTATATGAGAATCAAAACATTTCAGGAGTGAAAAGCCATGGAACAAGGAATATCAAAAGTTTCAAAATTATGGTGTACCTATCCATAAAGAATAAAACATTATGTGACAATGTGATAGATTCCTTTAAATATTTTCAAGCGATATTGTTTGGAGATTCGTTGTGTTTGATTTATAGGCGCATACTTAATGCAGCCCTCAGAATAGATGTAGTTAATATCGAAGCAGACTAAGATGAAATTATATTAATGTCGACATACTTTATAAATAAAACAATAATCTCACTTCATTGACATAGAGTTATGGACTTGACTCAGTTTTTAAAGAATACTATTCTGACATTGCGACAATACATCAAGTTTGTCATGATTTAAGAAGTATTTAAGGACTATGCTTTTGAGATTTATTAATCTCTTTATACAATAAAATGAAGTTGAAGGGAAGTCATAAAGCTCATTTTATGGAACATTGTGTTTATTTCGTGAAAATTTTTATTCTTAAGTTTATGAACATGGTTAATATTTTTGAATGTTTGTGAATGGAACTTTTGGGGGAAACGTCTAAACATACCCGCTATGGAAAAGACGGGGTATATCAGACTATCGAACTCGCACCGACTAAAAACTCCACGAGCTAGGGTGCAGGTCCACGGGAACGCCATCGAATACTTCTTAGAACCTGCCAACGCTAGCTACCTCAATAGCTCCTCCTCGGGGAGTAAAATCCCTCTCCTGCGGGTAAGGCAGGTTGGAACATTCAGTGTGTCTTTCCTACTCAGCCCCTTTTGTATGGCCAACGAACTCCCTCAGGTTCGCTGACCAGAATCCGATAAGCAAGTGTTTCGTACATGAAGGGTAGGCAAAACGGAGCTCCTCCCCCACTTGCAGCCACACCACCGCATCAGCGGTGCAGCTCCGGCGAGTTGCGGATGGGGAGGGTTCCACTTGACTTCACCGTGGGTGGCCAAGCCATAACCATTGAGTCCCTCTGCCACGACAAGGCGGAGGGGGTTGGGTGAAATGCCTGCTCGCCAAATTTACAAAAAAAAAACATTAAACCCTTTTTTTGTTCATGTTGAATTGCAACAACTAAAAGGTAGTGCTATTTTAATGTAATACAATAAATATAATACGTCCAAAATTCCCGTGTTCTTGATTGCACGGAAATCCGTGAAAGTGTGCTTCGTTAAGTCGAATGTTTACCACTGTAACTGTTCGCACCATTATAAGTTCCCGGTCGAGATACTCGCAAACGTGATCTGCCCTCATGATATTTAATGTGTAACAGATTGGAATAAACGAGAGCGAATAAAATTAACAACGTCAGAATCGATGTTGTATGCCGAATACCTCAGTATCTATAACTTACATCGTAGAAATGTTCTTAACGGCACCCGTTGGAATAAATTGTAAAACATAAGTTTGGTGAGAATAAACTTTGTTGCTAGCAGCGGCATACTTGTTGAGTGAAAGGTTGATAAATAAAGAAAAAATCGATTATCTCATCGTGTTTTTACAAGGCAGATTTTTAATTTATTACGTTCCCCAAATTTAATTATCATAGGCGACAAATATTAAAATTTCTATAAAAAAATGTTACTCCGATGGAATGTTTAATTTTCTCAATCTACGAAATAGTATCAGTTTTTTTGGTTTTCAACTGAGAAGCTAGAAGAACTGAGCCTGTGTCTAAATTCCTGAAGTAAGGTCCAATTCAGCATTTTTAAATTGAGTGATAACATGATACTAAGTACTTACTATTTTTGACTTTATGTATTTCCCTTCCTCTGCTGAACTGACTCCTTTGCATTCGCATTTAAATGACCATTTCAATTTAGTCTTCTCATATTTAAAATATGATTTTTTGTAGATAAATGGACAAAAATTAAAAAACAGACAACACAGCTCTAATGGGTATTCCTAATACGCCTCAATTCTTGTGACGGACCGTTTTAACAAACTTATGTAATACGCTTGCTGAAATTTCTTTACTATTTTAATCATTTAACAATTTACTTACATAACGTTTACATTGGTGGAAGAGTGCCGATTCGAGCTGCCTCATTCGGCATTAGCATAGCATTTCTGTATCGGTCTGCGGTCGTCCGTAATGCATTATTCAGTTGAATTTTGATTTGACTTCTTTCATTTGCCCCTAGTGAATGGACTCAATCTGTATATCTCCTCGCACATATATGTCTCTACGTTGTAGCTACCAGGTATTATATAAATCTATCAGGCATTCTAATATCGAATAGTGAACTATGTAAATCTTAATCTTACACGTGCCTGGTATAACGTCAACGTTTCCAAGGCTTTCATAACGTAATCAATGTATAGTGAAATATTGTAACATACGCGTTTTGTCGGGTAAGGTTTTTTATGCGACAAAGTGCAAATGACCTGGCCGTTCACCTGATGTTAGAACCGCCGCCATGGACATTTGCAACACTCGTAGGGTTGCAGATGCGTTGCCACCTTTTAATAAAGTGGGGCCCGGCTACCTCACTCACCAGACGAAACGCAGAAGTTTAACACTTCCACATCACGCCGGTCTTCTGTGAGGTCGTGGTACTAACTCGGACGGACCTGCCCATTCGTGCAACAGCCAAAACTGTGCGTTGGCCTACCACAGTTAAATGATAACCTATCTTAACGCATCTTTAACGACTTTCACAACGAAACGGGAACCTTACTGGTGATGTCCAGGGATGGACTCAGTACCGTCTTTACCATAAGGGCACACAGGGTCGTGCTCATGCCCGGGTCGTCACAGAGGCCCCACATGGCCTACGTATTATCTTAAACTAGAGAAATTTTTCTTTATTTTTGGTAGAAATATTCCGTCAGAAGTTTATATAACAAATAAAAAACAAGATAATAGCAGAAAAATGTTTTTTGTTATTTACTTTTTACCCTTTAATCAGGGCCCCAAAGTATGCCCTAGGGCCCCGATATGGCCTAAGACGGCATTGGATGGACTCATTTACGAGTAACATCAAGCTAACCGCCTAGAACATCCCAAAGTTATCCATCCATCATATGATAATCGAAAGCTTAGCTTATGATGCAGAGACAATTTGTTTCAACTACAACGAAACAAGCGCTGATTTATAGCATCTTTTCCTATTATTATCTCACGTCACATAAGAAGCTAATCAGAAATTTTTGACCATAAACCACTAGCTGTAGAAAAGTCTAATTAGCACACAGAAAAATGTTGATCGAATAAAAGAAGACAAGAGCGTTGGATGCGAGATTTTATGATGCGCCATCTCGGCAGCTGGCTTGAGCAGCTGCGCAAGGTGCGCAAGCCCGCACGCGTGGCCTTGCATTATGGGGCGCTTTGAGAAGAAATTGCGTCCCGCATTTAAGTAAACCGCTTTCGGAGGGCTCTCATTATTATCTGTTTGATGGAGTAAAATGTGCAGCGCTTTAAAAAGAAAAGCGGCAACATGTTAAGATAAGTAAGGTTTGAGTAAAAATTGCCGTAGTGTTAACGCACTAAAAAGTGAGTATTACTTTAATGTTCTTTTTTGTTTTAACCTAAACATGAATACATTTTGGACATTTTTCTTTATTCTTCAATGAAAATATAGACAGATTTAGAACTATTCGTGTTTCACCTTATTAACACTTAAGAAATTCGATAAAGACACGTTTCAACTCGCGACTTCGGATCTGTGCTTGGCTAAAAACGAATAACTTTATTTTCAATATGCCTGGGAAGATTGTTAGGCAATTTGCAGTTTGATCACTTATAATTGTCATTGTATTATCATAATGTATTTAAAATTAACATTATTAATTAAAAAAAATATATAAAGCAAGCCTCGAGTCGAGATCCTCGTTTGGGGCGGAATCCCATGCTAGATTAAGATTCTTTTCAATCGTTTGAATATATAAAATCAATAACCCGCGTTTGCGTTTACTTTTTTTGGGATTGAAATAAACTCAAAAAATCCAAAGAATCGCGGAGAAATGTCAACTCTACTATCCTTCTATACAACGTAAGGGCTAAGATAGGGCTCCTACTATCTACTTATATTAATAACTCGACACACCTGCCGGCGCATTCCTCGTTTCGGCGCCCGCCACTCAGCTCGCGTTCCTTAGCCCAGGGCGCAGTGCCATGTGCTCGTAGCACCTGCTACTTCCTGCGGCAAGTTGGCGCGCGTCGAGATTTCGAGTGTTACCTCACAGCTGCGGGAGGAGGATAAATTTAAATGCTTAAGCGGTCAATATACATTCAAGTTGAACGATGAAAATATAATAATAATAATGTATTTCATTTCTCCTCACAATACATGACAAGAAGATACAATATACAGTTGGTACAGCTTCAGTAAAAAATGTAATCAAGTAGTCAGTATGAATGTATATACACCAATACACTTGCATATATGCATCGTTAGTGACCATGGCTGCAACTAGCATCGCTAAATGGTTGTAGGCCGGTTGCAATCTATAATTATTATTGTGTGTTCATTTGTCTTCTAGTTACCTCTTACGATGGACTACAATAAACATTTCTCTATAAACAAAAAACTTGAAAATTGTATAGAGACCATTCAGCATAGATTACGCGTATTATATTTTAGGTTATCATTTATTCAGCTTAAAATATATTTTTGCGAAGGTGTTATGGCATTTTTGAAGGTCTTGCACTCTTTTATAACATTAGCGCTAAAATAGCATAAATTATCGTAATAGCATAAATTATCGTTTAAAAAAACAACGAATTCACTGAAAGTTATTAAGTCTTTACTGCATTTTATTTATCAAGAATGTGATAATCAATGTAGTTTACATATCAATCAAGATGATTAGGTCATAGAGCCCAAAAGATTAATTTATTATGTTAAGAGGTAGCTCTATCAATTTTGCACTGAGATGGATAAGTCGTAGAAGAGATATTTAGAAAGCCTGAGCTGTGAGGTATAATTTTATGACAAAAATCTTTTTTATATCAAATTACGTTTTAAACATAGTCACGCTGTTCCAGAGCTAAAGGACAAATATAAAGCTTAAAGGATAAATTTGACTTAACACAGAAATACAATTCCTAAGTATATCCGTCTGAAACAACACTGTAATAACTAAACGAAAGAAAAGAAAGCAGATTTACGGTAACGAGTTCGGATCCATGATACAGTAATCCCAATGGCATATTACCTCAGCTTCAAAAGTAATTAAGATAATCGCGTCTGTCTCGACATCTTAATCCGCAGCAACTTTATGTGACGGCTCACCATCGTTATTTTGAAATACGCAATCACAAATCTTGTACTTTTATATCTTGACGAAGAAAAGCATGAATTTTTATGAGAAAATGTCATAATCATGTAAATATGCCATGAAAGTATCAATATAAGAGGTGATGGACTCGCAAAGAAAGAATTTTTTTTATGTGAGAAAGGGGAAAACCAGCTGGCGGTTCACCTGATGTAAGTGATAATCGTCTGCCCATGGACATTTGCAACACCCGTAGGGTTGCAGATGCGTTGCCACCTCTTAATAAAGTGGGCACCAGCTAGCTGACTCACCAGACGAAACGCAGTAGTGCTACACTTCCACTTATCGCCGGTCTTCTGAGAGGTCGTGGTACTAACCCGGACGGACCTGCCCATTCGTGCAACAGTGAACACTGCTGCCTGGCCCTACCACTGCACTACAGAATAGACAGAATAGTATTGATTCAGAAGTAACTCTAGAAAAAAACAAATATACAAAAGCTCTTGAACGAAATTCGGAACACCGTTAACTTGTTTACGATAATCGCCGTGGACAGAAAATTAACAGTCTTCACTTAATTTTTTAAGGGAAAATAAAGAAAACAACTTTCAATTACGACATTTTGTTTTTTCGTCAAGAAATAATAATTAAGATGGCGTTGCGAACAACCGATTTTCTTTGTCCAATGTATCTAGGTTAAGTCGGTAACACTCAAAACTGGAACCGTCACGGTTCTGTCCACAGATAATTAAAACTCCCAGACATTCGAGAGAAACAGAATTATAATAATTGCGCAGCTTTTGTTCCTTTCTGTAACTTGTAGACTTATTTCTAACTTGTAAACTCATAAATATAATTTATTATTGATTTCTTACAAAGTAATAAAGACAATGTCTGAATGTAAGTAATAAAATATCGTTTAATACATTGCAAGTTCTGAAGTTTATATCATAGATACTTGGGAATTGGGATGTCTTTTATAGTTGTTTGGCTGGCATTGCTTTTGAAATATGAATTTATAAAACGCGACAAATACTAAAAGAAGACGAATATTTAAAGTTAAAATAAATTCCTACCTTTTAACTTATACTTCTTAAAATATAATGCCAATCACATTTCACTGAATCAAACAATGAAAATTGTTTTATGTATGCAGGAATAAATAAGAAGATTAGCCTGTATGATTTTAGCATAGAACATAATTGGATTATTTTCATGCTTTCACAATGATGCGACGGCTTAAACCGGCTCGTAGACACACGGGCAACAACCAGTTGCGCTATCATCGATAACAGGACCCGGACAAGTTGAGACATGTTTTTGTAACACCTCTCGGGGGCGACCTTGCGACGACCTAGCTCCGCGCCCGCTGAGAAATGCGCAGTGTATGTTTTCTTATATCTTTGTGTGTGTTTGTTTGATACATTTTATTTTGATGATAACCTCTTTTGTTTTGATGTTTATTTGAAGTGAGAAGATGCTTTAGTTTTCATTCTTGAGAACCACGTTAACCTTTATCGGACAAGGGGCGTGCAGAAACGCGCCTAGAAGTACAAGCAGATGACGCTGGTTCGAAATTCAAAAAAATTCAAAGCTATATAAATACTAATTTGTATTTCGTTGATGACATATTCACTAGAACTTTTCGTAACACTTCAATAATGCGGAGCACTACTTAACGCTAACAATATGACATAAATAACATGGAAAGGATATCATTTTAAATTGATAATTGGTAAATTATGGACAAGATTTAACATCTCTATTGTCTATTTGCCATACAATGGAAGCATTGACTAAAAGAGCTTTTAAATTTTTCGTCACGCGTTTAACATGACATAAGGTTGATTGTCGCATGCACCCTAAACTTTACAATACTTCGAACCATTGTTGTCGAGGATTATTGCAAATCTGATTTTGGTTTAGTGAATCGGCCAGCTAAGTCGGATCCTCGACACCTTTCGCTTACTTCTGAATGCTGCAGTTATAAGGTAGCTTCTCGTGTAACACGCGGTTCCAAGTAATTGGTGGGCGGGGCCGAGGCGAATGCACGGCCTTGCCGTATCGAAGATAGTGGCGGTTTGATGTAAATGAACCGATAAAGACCGGTGCCCCTCGATACCAATTGGAGAACGTCGCAGATCCGGTAAACGTGTAAACGCCACGTTAACTCGAGCTGTATTAATTTTGTTAAACAAGTCGCACTTGGAATTTAGGCGGGTTACAGCGTTTTATAGTATCCGTGAACAGTGACACTATTGGCTACCCTGACACGAATTAAAGTATTCAATGTTCGAATAATTAAGGCCATTCTTGAATAATCTTAATGTATATGTATGTAACTCAGTAGAATGATACATAACATACAGAAACTCCATTAATAGGACTTACCTCGCGCGATCTTTGATGTCAAAGTTGTCACAATGTTTCGTCATACAAACCAATCAGATATTTTTGGAGTACTATTCTGCTAATTTCTGTATTGATTGAGTAGTCATCATCTTCCTTATCATTAACATCATCATCGCTGCTGCTTTCACCCATTGTGCCTCTTGTTAAATACATCGGTTTTATTACTGCTTGAGCATACCGAATGTCAGAAGAAACAAACACATTAAAAATCCTATGGGTCCCTTCACCCCCCGCTACTTCCGCAAGCGTTAATAATCGTTTAGTTACGTAACCATCGAATCGGTTATTGCATATTACATTTCGGAACGTCACCGAAATGGAAACAATAGGAAGACAACAAATGCGTTCCCTGTCAATTATGCCACCATTTTGGAACTATTGCGTTCAACAGGGACGTAAAGCGATCGTCAGGTAAGCGATTAAACCGTTAAAGGTGTTGTCTGCAAACAATGCGCGACTCCCGTGCAGTCGAAATAAAGGAGTGTTTGCCTGTTACCACCTCCGTGGACTGTATAATGTGTACCAGCCCATTAAAAGGCGCGACAACTTCGGCATTTCCAGGTGACAAATCAACAGGCTTATAGCCCCACCAAGATCATGTAACTGAAAAGGGTTGCAAAATATTATATATAGCACTCATCATTATTATCCTTCTGATCTTATCCTACCTAGATGGGGTCGACACAACATGAACCATGTTGTAAATGTCTACGTGATTTTGTTTAGTCTGCTATTTGAAGCATGTATATGAGTTATTAACGATAGCCGATAAGGAAGAAAGTTTCTCGAGTGTCAGCCTCATACTGGCCATCGCAGTCGACCTATGCTCATATGCGGGAAGTCGATGGATACAGGTGGCTCAGGATCGTGTTTCGTGGCAGTCTGTGAGGGAAGCCTATGTTCAACAGTGGATTCAAGCAGAAGTGAAATGACGATGGTGGTGATAAGAGTAATAACGTCATTATAATTAAGGTGAAGTTTTAACCTGATCCAGAAAAGATCGCCTAATTCGAAACTAAAAGGATCGAAACAACGGCTTGACATGATAAAAGTTTGGTCTAGGATTGTTATTAAACATTTCACGCGGACAAAAACGTCGGCACCACCCTTACGAAAGCTTTCGAACAATGTCGACACGTTACAATTTCATTACTAGGAACTCCCGGGACGCCCGACAACGGGCGATGAACACTCGAAACGACGACCGTAAATTCTACTGTACAGGATTCGCCGGAACCGACTCGATTGACCGCCGCGCCGCCGCCGCGACCGCCCGTCGATACGACGTTCGGTAACCATTGTAACGAAATTACTAGAGACTGTCCCCACGTGCCTTGGTGTTTTTGTTGTATGGAAGTCGAAAACCTATCTGGAATAGTCTAACTTTATGGGATTTCATTCAGGAAAAATGTCTTAAATTTGCACCCGGTCTATGAGACACCATTTGGAACATTTAGGAACTAAGAAATACAGGAAAAGTGGTTAGCAATAATCGTCATCACTGCTTCTTTATTTAGGGACGTAGCAAACGAGCAAGTCGTCTACTGTATGTGAAGGAATTATCATAATTATCCACAAATACTTCGTGGCGATATTCTATGAGACTATAGTACTCCGGATGTGATGATACACGAACCAAACTATTCCATCAGGTTTTAAATTGAGTGCTTACGTTGGATTTAAATGAAACATTAATAATATTGACTTCCGTGTTTTTGGTGTCGCGGGGAAATCTTCAAAAGGGAGCAAAGACAAGGCTTACTCCAGGTCATAATTAGGGCTCCCACCCTCATCACCTGTGAACTTGAAATCCTCTTCTAGTCGCCGTGTACGACGAGCACACGATATCCAAGCGCTCTTCTATATGCTTAGGGCTGACTCATTTTAGTTATTCCATGTGAATCACACACAATCAGCTTATTTGGCCGAAGTAGTAAAAACTTGAAGGGAAAAGCCATTTAATAATAATGTTATTTCAACTTCGAAATCTAATAACAAACTCTGAACAAAAATTTACAAGTAGACAAGTACGTTTCTGAAATTATCATTAGCCGATAAACGGTGGCCTACAAGTAGTTACCGCTACTATTTCAATATTAAAAACAATAGCTTTCGGAGAAAATTAATTTGAGTTCGACCTGGTTGACTTTAAATAGTTATTAGGTATTACTACAACCAAAGTAAATTTTTCTTAGGACATAAACAGATATGGTAGAGTTTTATTCGACAGCAGAAACATATTGTACAAAAATATATATATATATACGGTCCTAAAGATAATTCTCGAGAATTTTCTAGCATAAACTTCATTTAATTCTTTCTTTTCTTACTTATCTTTCCTAAATTTAAAAGAAAATTTGTTCTAAGTGGCAGTTATTTATTAAAAATTAATTAGCTGTATTAATATACCAATAACATTAAAATAATACATATCCCAAAACCTCTAACCATTTGGTCACAAAGCCAAATAGTAAAAAAAGAAACTAAACAAAACGAAGAAAATTGAATTCCCACCCAATTAGTTTAAAGCCCTTATTTAAGTAACAGGCGTTTAACTTCCAAATTATCCCTCCGAAAACCAACCTTATAACGATGGTGGTTACGTGAAAAGTTCGTTAACCGATCTTTAAGTAATAAGGTGTCAACCAGCTACGTACATTAAGTGAAACCACCGGCGTAGAACCGCGCCAAGTTAAAAGTGCACGCCAAAGCGCCTTATTTCAATGTCTTAAGGTCGACATTGGTAATTTCGTATTATCATGAATGCTTCGCGGCATCTTAAGACGGTTACGGTTATCAATTGATCGCTGACAACAGAAAGTATTGACATTTTCGCTTCGTTTTTAAAAGAAACTGCGGGTGGCTCTTAGAGCTCGTTTGTAGACGAAACAATATCGGTCTGTTGGTGACTCATAGTCATACAGGTTTTGGTGTAAAAAAAGAATGGGTCACAACATACAGTGATGTATATATGTATATATCGATAATTGTCAAATAAATAAGTCATAACAAAACTAATTAATGTACTCACGTTAAGAGATGTTGTACACGCAGGCCCATATAAATAAACATAGCCAAGACCTGAAGTATTTCCAGTTCTTTTTTGGACCGACCTAACTTTCAGAACCAGTGTAATCTAGCAATTGAGACGGTGATATGCCATTTTTCTAAGAAGCTTAAAATGAATGTGCCTGACACGGGTTCAACGCCTATACACCCAATCAAAGTGACTGGCCCACACGAACGTTAAAAGCGAACAAACAATCAAACACGGGAACGACGCATCCCCAAAATCGTAAATACCGATCCCTAGTACACACTGTTTACCGTCCAATAACTCGTGGCCCCTTCAAAGCTGCGCGACTAATATCTATTTGCCCACTAACGAACGTTTATAACCACTAATAAAACTCATGAACTATTTTAGTGACGCCCCATCGAACATTTTGTTTGCACACTAGTTGGGATGCATTCCTGGCCCCGCGGCACTGAGTCACGCAGAGGCCAAAGGCCGTCCGTTGCGTTTAAACGATCAATAGCCGTTGTCGTTATTTTCGGGTGTCGTTCGCGCAATAAATTCTTGGATAATTCGTTAATCGTTGCCTGGTTAATGGCCAAACTGTTGCGAAAAAAAAGTTCCAGTACACTTTTTCATTTTACGGGAAATACTTTACGCAAGCTCTCAGGTGTCTTTAATACTAGGATACTAGGTAAGAGTTATGACTAGTGAGAGTTTAAAAAAAAAGTGCGAATCGATGTCTTCTATTCTAATGAGAATAAATTCAAATAAAGTCAGATTACACCAGTATCAATTTAATTTTTAGTTTATTAGGAATGTGTAGTAACGAGTTTGATATGAAATATTATTATATCAAAAATAATCTGTTTCTACTCTTTGATTTTAGCATAGTCTTACCAAAGTCTTACAACTCTCAAATGTCAACCCTTTTCTAGTTCAAACTTATTATAATTATACTCAATCATCTACTTAGTAAAATTCAATCACTGAGTCTTCACTCAGTTTAAATCCTTTTAAAACGTAGTCATTGTCCGTGAAGTTGTTCAATAGGGGATGTTGTTCAACAGGGGATGTCGAAATATATACTAGATATTTCCATAGTCTCCAATTTTCAATTTTTTTTCGAACACACAATCCGTTGACGCGAACACGTCAAGACAAGTCGAGTGGGCGCGGTCGCACCTCGCATCCGGTACCCGTCTCTTGATTAATGGGCGCCCGTGGATGGAAAACCAGTCCTATTCGGGTGCCATCGAACAGCTGATGCGGACTAGTTACCGCCGCAGCCGCCTACCGGTCGCGATTGACCCCACAGAAACATATGGTTGCGCCATTGATATGGAGATTCGGAATGCGCAAGCGTTCGTTATGTCGGTACGTTCTGATCGTAGAACTCAGGGCGTTGGCAATATATACTTCACAATAGCTCATATAGATATCTCTTTTTATATGAGAGAGTAGCAGGCGAGCTGAAGGGATAACCGCCGCCCAATGAAATGTTTTAACACCCCTTAGGATTGCAGCTCTGCCACCTTTAAATAAAGTGGGCCCCGGCAACCTCACTCACCAGAAGAAGTGCAGAAGTGTAACACTTCCACAGCACGCCGGTCTTCTGTGAGGTCGTGGTACTGCCCAGGACGAGTCTGCCCATTCGTGCAACAGTAGAAGCTGTTGCGTGGCCCTACCACAGTAGAATTAGTCTTGAAATTACCCCCAAGTAAGTAAACCCTGTAAGTAACTAGCTAGTGACCTATTGTCCCACCTGGTGATAAGTACTGGTCCTAGTTGTGATTTAGGATAAATATGGTGGCGAGCTAACAGTTACTTAGAAAAATACTAGTCTAGTTAAAACTGATATTATAATTTAAGCAAATTATTAATTTAAGTTTATTACTTATTTATTCTTTTACTTTTTCACATATATAATACGCTATTAATACTCTAAACTTAGTAATTTATGTGGTATGACTACCATTGATAGTTTATGTTCCCACTAGATAGATCGTTTCCAGCACAAAGCGCTTTCATTTAAAAGCGACTTTTCAGGTATAAAATCCATTTTCAAAACCATATTTAAAAATCTAACCAGCCCAGTATTAGATGACTTGACAAATTGGGCAAGTCCAATCTACTTTACTTGCTATGGTAGAGATTGACCTGTCAAAGGTGGATTGGACGGAAAAGTAATTCACCCTCTGATAACTTACTATAGAAACATCTGTTTAATTCGTTTGTCATAATAATGATGTGTTATTACTTATGATTAATTATTAATAACTCAACTTTAAAACAAACGTAAGATTACTTAAACATTTATCGCTACTCATAATTATAAATTAATTATTACGTACGTAATCTTTATCCATGGACTATGTAGCGTTGCGTAGTGTCCACGCGGTTTGAAATACGTTTAGTTTCAGGAGTTCGTTGATGTCTTTTGTATGTCAATTATTACAAAACCTAAGCCGTAGCATTCTTGAAACACTACGTCTAGATAAGTCCAGTTTTTGAGTCGAGCATAATTCGTCACATGATATAATATCATCACTACATAGTATAAAACAAAGTCGTCCCGCTGACTGTCTGTCCCTGTGTATGTTGTACGCTATGCGGTTTTTTTACTAGATAGAGTGACTCAAGAGAAAGGTTTATATGTATAATAAACAGTACCCGTGCGAAGCTGGGGCGGGTCGCTAGTTACTAATATTTCTTCACCAGTCCTTCAGTCCTTTTGAATTGACATAATCATATGGCATATTTCACATTGATGATCTCTTGTGATACGATCTTTTGTAAGAACTATATTATTAACTATATGCATATAATATATATAGTTTCTATATGAATGACAAATGAAGTTTATAATTTTGTCAAGGTCAACAAAAAGGCATTGACAAGAAGATTTTAGTTGGATAATATAATTAATATTATTAATACCTATTCCATAAAAATTTTAACCTTGTCTATTCAAAACCAAAAAATTCCATTACTTAAAATAATAATTTATGCGTAATCGCAATAAAGAGAATATTAATGATGTTTGCAGAAGATAAGTTACTATTACGTTTAAAATGTAGGATCGTTAACCAATTAGTCATTAAATAAATATTTGTGCATTTGTCTCTTAGAACTCGGTCTTAATGAACCGATTTAAAACACAAGGAAACGGAACAAGCTTAGTTCTCGAAATAAAAGAGTATCTATATTAATTGAGTTTGTAAGTTTGTACAAATTAACTTATTGACTAAAACTGCAAATACGTACATCTTACTG